CCAATAAGTTATAGTTCTAGCTTTAGGGGTAGGGGTGACGACAGTATAAAGCATTTGGGAAGAAGAAGGACCAATGAGCACTGTGATCAAAGTGTACATGGGCTTCAGTGAATGTATTGTCTTCTAAGTCTGTCCAACATCCTGTGATTAATAGTAACTAACAGTCATCAGCAGGGGACAAGAGGAAGAAATGGCATCTACAAAGATGAGATGAGAAGGAATAAGATAGGAGATGCCTGGAAAGCATGGACAGACCTGCCTCACAAGACTGTGGGAAGAAAATGCTAGAACACTATTTCCAGTAGGAAACTGAGGAATCCAGAGGCTACAGAGATGGCAAAGAACTGTTTGGTATAGTTAGGAATTTAGTGTAAAGTTGCCAGTGAAATCTCCTATGAATCAATTCACTCCTGTGTGTTCCAAGGCAACGCTATTGAGTTGCAAAGTTATTGTGGCAAATATCAGGGCAAACCCAAGGCAGAGGGCCAAGTGGTACTAGAAAGTTAGCTGAATTCAAAGGGACAACTATGTTCCATACCATATAAACTTACTGTCAGTTTGGATGCTTGAGGCTATTAAATTTTATTGTTTTCCTCTTGGCATAACAGGGCTACTTAGCATTTGGGAAGGCTTGCCTCTCAGGAGCCCACATATTATGTTGGCAGATTTCCTTGAGTCCTAATCATCTTATTGCAGAGCTTACTAAATGTACCACTCTTGGTCAGGTTCTGTCATCCTATATCTTTTTGGGAAATGAACCAAAGTAACATCTCAACATACATCACAGGAGGAAGAATGACCCTAAGTGTATACTCCAAGTATAAAGCATTTAACCTAAGCGTTATTGCTGTGTGCTGTCAAGTTGATTCAGACTCATAGTGACCCTGTAATAAAGTAGAACTTCCCCCATAGAATTTCTGAAGTTATTATCTTTATGGGAGCAGACCACTAGGTAGATCTTTTTCCTGTGGAGGCTGGTAGGGTTGAACTGCAGACTTTTTGGTTAACATCCAAGCACTTAACCATTGCACCACCAGGTCAGTTTTAGGTCAACTGAGGTTTGCAAAAATTCTTGGCTTGAAAGAAACAAATAACATCTTGATTATAGATGAAGGACCCAGGAGAGATTTGTAACCTAGGCTCTGTCACTCAGCCACAGGGGAGAATCAGGCCTGTGTCACCGTTCATCAGTGCACTCTGTTTCTCAGACCCTAACAGTGTAAATCTACAGTCAGCCAATATAGAACATTACAGAAACTTCAAGGACAGCCTGAACTACATCTGCAAGATGGCCTGATTTCTTGGAACCCTTCGGCTACTCAGAAAAATGAAACTACTTTCAGTCTTCATTTCCTTCTTTTCTTCACCTTAGGCATTGTATGGAAACTTCTAGCTGGGTCATAAGGAAGTCTCTTTAGGAAGTACTTTCTAGTGGTAAGATTCAGAAAACCAGAGATAGAAAATCCTGGCACACCCTAGTAATACTATATTTAATTCCAGGATACTCCACTACTTTGTCTTCTTGAATAGAAACAAAAGCTTTTTGTTTGATATGAATATGAGAAGGTCATGGAGAGAAAAACTGGACTCTTGAGAATCTATTTCCTGGGCTCAAGTTGTGTGCTTCTGTTTGAGTTTATAGGAATTCCTGGGTTTGGACTATGCGTAAGGGTTTCTCAAGAATCCTAGGGCCTGGATTCAGACCTAAGGGAAGTGACTAAACTTAATATCTGCAAAGTTGAATACAGAAAATATTAAACAAAAAACATTTTGGCATGACCATTAATTTAAAATTTAATTTTCAGTAACTTATTTCTTCACATCAGTTCCATCTTACCTACTCTCTCCCATCCTGAGAACATTTTCTATATCCATCAACACCATTGAACCTACTCAAAGTGCAATCCTTAAACACTCTGCTTGACTCTAACAGAAGACACCAGTGATGGTCACCTTTGCCACAAAGTTATGACAATGTGGCCAGGTAAAAATTGGTCTAAGTAGCTCATGAAAAATTCCATTATTATTTCCAAATAGACCAGGCTTTCAATCCTGTAAAATAAAAGTCCTCTTTGGCTCCGTCTAGTAGATTTTTCGCTGATCTTTAAGCTAAGTCTGAGCAAGTATGAGCCTTGTTCGGACCCATAAAGTCCCTAGGACTTGTGAGAATAGTGATGTACCTGAGTCACCTTTTCTTTGTTGACAGTTGCTAAAATGGGTCATAGCTAGAGTTAAAAGTTGATCTTTTCTACCTGAGGTCCCCTGTCTGGCCTCAAGGTCAAAGAGCAGAATGCACACATTCTTTACAATAGTTAAGGAACTTTTATTCTGAAACAAAACCTCTGCCTATGCAAGGGTGTTTATCAGGGAATTATAAATGACCGGCCTCCTCCCTCCCAGGACTCCTGCGCAGACTTTTGTAATGCCACGTCAGGCAGGTGACCTAAGGCAGCATGGAGGAGGGGCACTGCACTCACCAGTCGGAAGCCTTGGAGCAGGTTTCTGTGCTTTTGTGTCATGTTTGATGATTTCCCTTCCCATGCAAACACTGAGGCGCACTTAAATGTTACAACTCAACTGAAGAGCAACCATACTACATATAAAAAACAACAGGAGAAAATCCAGTAAACATTTCACTGAACAGTCAAGCAGCCCTTGGATGCCACTGGCATCCTGCGCAGATACCTGCCAACACACCTGGCCTCATAGCACCAAGCACCTGGACAAAGCTGAGGCTCAAATAAAACAGAGTAGAATGATTTTCCTCTTGCCTCCTTATCTCTTTGCCAAGTTATCCAAGGTTAAAAGAGGGGATATGATCAGATCCTTAGCAATTGACCCAGGAATAAAAACTGAAAATAAAACAACAGCCAAAATAAAACCCTGAGGTATGGCCAGGGATTTAGAGCTTGTCACTGGGGTTTAATATCAGAATTGAAGGGGAACACACAGAGGGCATCCACCTTCTTACTCCTACCCAGAGAAGGCTCTATAAACTTTTAAATGGACAGATTCAAATGCAAGACAAGGGAATGCTAAGTCAGATTTCCCAGAGGCATTTGTGTTTTTATGACTTCTTCAAGCAGTGTAAGCTAAAGGTTAGGGCTTAAATTACTTAAATTACGGAAAGTAAAAGCTGGAAGACCAAGAGTTGGGGATGTGCATGTGGATACCTCTAGGATAACCCTACTACAGGTAACATGCAAAATCCAGCTGTGAGAATCAAAGGATAGAAACTGGGAGCTTTATAAAAGAGCACATCCCTGTGGGATCCTGGGTTCATCTTTCCTCCTTAAGCATCCAGAAGTTGACACTTCCTTCGGATTCTTAGACATGCTCAGGAGCACCAAAGTATACACACTTCCATGCCTTGTTTTCTTTCTAGCTCCTTTCCTTTTCAGTCCTCTTCTGGAGGATCTACCCAAAGACAGAGTTCTTCATGACCCATTTCATCTTCTGTCCCAATAAGTAGATTCCTAGATCTGGACCATCTGCACACATATCCACTGTCCCCAGAATGACTGGGGTGGGAGAGTCAGCGGTCACACACAATCCTGAGATGCGTGGTCCTGTTGATAGGAGGAAGACCGTGGCAGCATCTGTCCTGGGTGAGAAAAGCTTAGGAAACTCCTCTGTGAGCGCTCCTGAGGTAAGAAGCACTGCAGATAGTTAATCTACAAATAAATAAATACATGAATAAATAAATAAATACAGACAGACACGAGAGGGCTCTTTACAGACAAGCTCCTCTTATCAATCTCAATAACAATTTAAAAAATAAGCAAAATCCCCTCTTGAGTTTCAAAGCTCGCTTGCACTGGTGATTATAGGCTCAAAACAACCCATAGAAAGTAGAACAATCAAGACAAGAACTGGAAATGTTCCAACATTGGGTGTTTCTCACTAGATGACCACCAGTCATCCTAAATGTTCCCGAGGTAGTCTTGTATTCTAGGAGTTGGCAGAATGGCTCCAAACCCACTCAGAGCTGCCTCCTCTAATGCCATTGCACTTCCCCATGTGTCCTGCTTCTGCCTCCATGGACCAGATGCCTTTCATTCATCATTGTGTCCACAGTGCAGACAATAATAAAATGCAATGCCGAGATCTGGCTTGAAGATGCCACTTCAAAGAGGACTTTGCCAAAATGATTCAGGCAACTGCTTTCCTGGTAGTCATTTTGGGAGAAGCTACAGAATTAAATCAGAGAAATCCAGCATGCAATAGGCATGCATGTCTGTCTTTTTTTTGTTCAGCCCCACAACTGAAACAAATCTCCCATCATTGCTCCTTTCCATTGTAACAATGGGCTAAAAGACATGGAAAGAAATCAATGTTTTAAAACTGGGAAACACAATTCTGATATTGAGGGTAGTATGCACTGTTTACAATCTGAAGAAACTGGGTGATCAGGTGCCAGCATGAACTATACACGAACAGCTTATGGCTGAACCAACTTGGTGTGAAATATTCTCTCAGGGGAGAAGTGATGACATTCAACATTTCTCAAGAAGGTTGGTGCTGAACTCTTCGCCACAACAGAAGCACTTAGAGCTGTTTTACACCAGCCATGAGCCATGCTTTTGACTACAAAAGCCTTTCTGTTACCTGCCCTACCAATGGCTCAAACATCCTGGAAGACAACAGGGTAACGGGACAATTGGGGACCCTCAATGCCCCAATGGAATTTGGAGACCCTACTTCCATATTCCATTCACTTCCATCAGCCATTGGGGAGATCCTGGACTTCATTACAGAAAACATGCTTTCTTCCCTTGGACTTCAGGTTTTTTGTTGTTGTTGTTTTTAAGTCTCATTTGGGAAAAAGGCAATCAAAAGCCCTGTCATTTTTACCCAAGTGGCCCTGTGAGGAAAGAAAAAAATGGCCTCTTCCTCTTAATCACTGCACCATCACTGCCCAAAGACCATCCTAACAGAGAACCCTTCATAACTCTACCATGGATCAATAAATTCAACATTAAGTTAAATAAAAATTTAGATCAGCATTTAGCCAAAGCTCTGTCCTCCTGCAGGAGGTCATTCAACTCAATGACGGTCGTGGCGAAGTCCACCAGGTCCACAAAGTCAGAGGTGATGATGTTGATGCCCATGGCTCCAGGTTTTTGAGTTTTCACCCAGTCCAGGATGGCAGGAAGATTCCTACACAGAGAAGAGGATTGAGGGATGACAGAACAGGGAGTTGAGTTTAGAAAGTCTACTCTAGGAATAGAAACAAACATTTCTGTTCATGTATGCCAATCAAAGCACAAACCCATGGAAGTTAATCTACTAAAACTTTACATGTCTCTTTTTCAGGGCTGAAGTGAGCTCTGTTTTCTCAGAGAATTGTATTTTCCAGGATTTCTTAGTTTGGAAGAGGAGATTATTTTTCCAAGTGTCAAAGACACCATATCAAGAGGAACTTTCTAAAAAGGATAATATTGGGCTCTTTAAAAATTTTTTTTACATTGACAAATTTCAAATCTACAGAAAATTTGAAAATATCTTACAGTAAGTATGCCCATCATTTAGATCTTACAATTAACACTGTACCATATTTGATTGGTGTGGCCCTTCCTTGTGTACCACAAGGCTGGTGGTTCAAACTCATCAGTCGTTCCTTGGAAACCCTAAACTGGGACACCATGAGTCGAGACTGACTTGACCACACTTAACATTTGCTTAATCGTTTTATCGTTCTATCCTTCAGCAATCCATTTTATATTTTTGACAAATTCTTACTGCAAACATGAAGTATCCCCTAAATACTTCAATATACATATTACTAACTAGGATTCAAAATTTGTTTGCAGTTTGGTTTTCTTTTCACATGAAGTTTGCATATAGTAAAATGTACAAATCTTAGTGTACATTTGATGAGTTTGGACAAAGGTAACCCAAGCACAGTGCTTTTAACACCATTAAAGCATACAACATTGCTGGTATGCAAGAAAGTTCTGTATGCCCCTTTTCAGCCAAGTCTTACCCCCATCCTCTAGACTTACCTGTTCTAGAATGTCATATAAACTATCCAATACATAGTCTCTTTTGTGTAAAGCATCTTTCACTTAGAACAATACTTTTGAAATTAATCCATATTGTTGCATATAACAGTAGGCTGTTCTTTTTTATTATTGAGTAGTAGTCTAATATATGGAGTCCTGGTGTGGCACTGTAGGATCAGCACTGGACTGCTAACCACAAGGTCTTTAGTTCAAACCCACCAGCCGGTCATTGGAAACCCTATACAGTATTGCTGTGAGTCAGAACTGACCCAACAGCATTTAACAACAACAACAATATTCTGTTGTATGAATATACTATAGTTTATCCATTTTACTAATGATAGACTGGCTGTTTAGAGATTTGGGATATTATGGTTAAGACCACTATAGGCATTCTTTTGTAAGTCTGTTAATAGATGTATATTTTCAGCAGACTTCTGGCAAGATGGCAGATTAGGCAGACATGCTATATAGACCCTCTACAACAAAGACACAGGAGACCAAATGAAACAGACACAGAGGACAATCCTGGACCCCTGAACTTCAGAGGAAAGGTTAGAGAAGGGGACTGAATACCTACTGGGAGGGGCGGTGAGAGAAGACTGACTGGCAATACAACACAAGCATCTTGAACTTTTGCAAGCAGATTTGGAAAGACAAACAGATGGTTGCCTGATGGCGCAGATTCATAGGGGCGACTGAAAAGGTAGGATTCCTTCTTGCTCCCCAAACTTCCCTGAATAACAGAGGTGAGGTCGGCCCTCATCCTCATCTGCCCCCAGGATAGACCCTGCTCTCTAGGAGTTCTGAGTTACGTGGTTTGAACCCGTGTGAGGCAGGTGTTCTTGGTGCCTGTATTCAGGCAGGTTCTGCTCCAAATCTACAGAACCCACAGAGCCTCCACGCCAGAATTAGACTAGCAGGAACCTTCATGATCAGCCACCCTGTCCCCACTGATTCTGTCCACTGATTCTGAGAGATATTGAAACTAATAACTCGAAGGGCCTCCAGGAACTACTTCTGGATTGGGTGCACTGAATATACACAACACCTAGGTCTATAGGAACTCCATCAAGGAATGGGAACTCAGCCATCACACCCCTCATCCACCCACCTCGTGAGATCCTTTGCTAGCAGGAGGCTGCCAGAGTTTTCTCTCTGAGTCCAACAACTGCTCTGTTTCTTTTGTTTTTTCTCTCACTGTTTCTGTTTATTCTTTCTTTTCCTTATTCCCCTCTTCCCCTTCGCTTTATTTTTATTTATTTTTATATAAATTACTTTGTGTATTTTTTAAAAAATGTTTTATTATGAATTATGTGATAGTTTACATGGGAGAACATTGGTTTTTACATTCATTCTATCGTATATTGTCTCACTGTCATGGTTACAATCCCCTCCATCCATCATCAACCAAACAAAGGATATACCCTGCAAGCCTGCCATCCTTCTCTGGGTAGGGTCCCGCTCTCTGCTCTTCTCCGTTCCTAGACTGGAAAGTTAATCACACCTGTTCTTGCTATAAAACGGCTACCTTTACATTTCCAACCCTCACAATCAGTCCTGATAACAATTATTCACTATAGTATCACAAAAGACCCATCTGCATTTCATTTCATCAGCCCCACCTACACAGATTGTATACTACTCACTGGACATTCTACCTTCCTCCAGGCCCTCTGGATCTAGGTTCCCTCTTGAAAGCTTGTAAGCCAGTCATTTCTTGCCTTTGTAGTCCCCTTCCCCCACCCAATTTTGGGTAGCCAATGTCCAAGTTGCCCATCCCTGTCTACTCTGTGTGTGGAGGGGGTGGGAATGATTCTTGCTGTAAGGATTTGTTTCCTCTTTTGAGCTACTGCTTCCATAGGTGTATGTCAAGTTCATCAAATTGTATCAGAATAGTCAGTCACAAAAAGAGAAATACT